TCTGAAATAGTCCTAACTCTAAATTAGCGTCAAAGCATTTGAAAGATTCTGATGCTAGTAAGTAGCCAAGAGGAAGAAGAATCAAAACCTGATTTTACCCTTGAATAACTACTAAACTTACACCCCTCAAAAGAATTTCCTCCCCCCACATTTCACCGTCCCCCCAACCTGACTCCTGTGGACAAGGTGCCCTTGGTTAAGAAAACTGATAATATTCCCACGACATTGTTGTTCTCATCTTCCTCAATGGCTGATGCTTTGTGAAAGACCAAAAGCTGTTAGAACAGCCTTGTCAAGTTTTTGGGCGTATCCTACACATTCAGTCAAATGTAGCAGCACCAATCAAGTGACTATCCAGGATTTTGGAAAGCTTCCTGAGTGGGTGATTCAACTAAGCGTCAGTATCCCATCAAAAGCCTGACTTGCAATTTTCAGGTGGTGTGAAAGCTTTGTAAAGTCAACAGCTGAGCCACAGCTTGCAGTCACTAGGATGTTAGTAATAGGGAATTGTCTGATGTTGGTACAATTGAAGATTGCGAGTTATTACGCAGGGATCATGATAAGCCATGATTTGGTGTCATGATGGGAAAAGGTTTGGAGAACACTGGTGTAGTCTTTCCCTATATCAATACTTTCATGGGCAAGTCTGTCTGTAACATGCGGTTAGGTGAAGTCATCAATTTAACACAAGCCTCGCCCCAGAATCATTCAGTAGAGAAGGGGCCATTCAGCCCTTTGAATGCCACCTACAATAGTCCCACTTTCCTGCACTAAGCCCATAGTCTCGAATGTTATGACACTTGAAGTGCTCATCAAAGTACTTTTTAAAGGTTTCCCCCCTCAACCACCTTCTAAGGCAGTATATGCCAGACACCCACCACATTTTGGGTGAAAAAGGTTTTTTGTCAAATTCCTGCCAAACCTCCCATCTTTCACTTTAAAATTATACCCCTTGTCATTGATCCTTCAACTGAGGGGAACTGCTGCTTTTTTATTCATCCTGTCCATACCGCTCATAATCTTGTACACCTCTACCGCATCCCCCCCCAACCTTTGTAGTCTTATAGCGTGTCTTTCAGGCCTTGATCATTTTAGTTATTGGTTACATTGCCAACCATTGGGGTCACCTAAATGCTATGGAACTAATAATTCTTCCATCAAGCACACCATCTATGATCCTGACAATGTGGAATGGAGTGATTTATACTGATGCAACAGTACTTTCAGAAATGCTGGTTTGCATGAAGTTGCTATGTCAGATACAGCAGATGTTCTGCACAAAATGCATACATGTTTTCATTCTGTGAGGAGCTGAAAACTGACTCCATTGCCAATTTATTCTGGCATGAATTCTTCCCACAAGCAGAGGAAGCAACTTCAGCTGTTACGGGCAAAGATCCACATGGGGACCGACAGTCACGAACCATTTTCAGCTAATAAGTTCTCTAATGCAATAGCCATAGAACATGAGCTTTGAATTAATTGTCATCAACTCAGACTTGCACATATAGAGTAATTTCAATAGAGAAAGACATTTCGTAGAAGCATATGTAGTTAAAAATTGAAACCAATGGAGATATTGGACATGTGACTAAATCACTATTCAAAGAGATAGGAGAAAACACCATGGCAATGTCTCTACCAATCATAGCTAACTTGTTAACCAAACAGAACTCTTCTCTCGTACTGTATAAACATTGTTTTCCCTTTACCATGATATTTTTTGCTAGTTATACTGGTGAGTGCAAGAGGTAAAGCTTCAACAGAATTTGTCTAATCTTTTCAGCAGTATTCAAGGACAATATTATCAAATTACTACATTAATCTTCCTGACTTCTGCACTTTTCTGGGGAAAGAGGTTCCAGCTCTCTCATTCTGAACTGGGAAAGTTTATCAATTCCGCTTCCAATTCACCCTGCCCTCATCTTCACTTCGTCCATTTATGACTCCTGCCTTCCCATCCTTGACATCTCTGTTTCTGTTTCTGGGGATAGGCTCGCCACCAATATCCATTACAACACCTAACTCCCACAATTACCTCGACTATATATCCTCACATCCCACTTCCTGTAAAAATTCCATCCAATTCTCCCAGTTTCTCTGTCTCCATCTCATCTGTTCTGATGATGCCACCTTCCGCTGGGATGGTGGTGGTCAGGGTGGGGGGAGACAGCCTGAGAAATATCCACTTCTTTCCTCAACTGAGGATTCCCCACCAACATGGCCGACAGGGCCCTTAGCCGTATTCAACTCATCTCCTGCACTTCCGTCTTCATACCCTGTCTTCCTTCTTGCAACAGCGATAGTGTCCCATGGTCCTCACTTACCATGCCACCAGCCTCCTCATCCAAAGGATGGTAAACTGCCATTTTTGCCACCCCAATGAAATGCCACTATCAGACACATATTCCCCACTCCTCCCTTGTCAGCAATCTGCAGGGATGATCCCTCCAGAACCCCCTGGTCCACTCCTGCTCCATTCCCAACATCATCTCACACCTCCATGGCACCTTCCCATGCAATGGCAGAGGGTGCAATACCTGCCTGTTTACCTACTCACCCTTAACTATCCAAGGCCCCAGACACCTTCCAGCTGAAGCAACAATTTACCTGCATTTTACTCAATCTAGTCTACAGTGTTCTTTGTTCACAATATGGTCTCCTCTACACTGGGGAGACGAAATGCAGACTGGACAACTGCTTTGCAGAACATCTACGTTTTGTCTGCAGAAGTGACCCCAAGCTTCCAGTTGCCTGCTACTTCAACACACCACTGTGTCCCCACATGGACATTTCTGTTGCAGACCTGCTGCTCTGCACCAGTCTGGCTCAGCGCAAGTTCTAAGAACAACTCCTTATTTTATGCTTGGGAACCCTCCATCCTTTTGGACTCAACATTGAGTTCAATAATCTTAGAATCTGATTGCATCCTTCCATGTTATTTCTCCACCCCCACACCCAGTCCTGTTATGATATAGGTTGCTTTTAGCACAGTTAACCCATTTGCACCCACTCTCAGGCCTATTACCACATTACATGGTTTACTCTCAGCACAGACTGCCCATTGTCTGCTGCCCTCAGCTCTCATAATTCGGCTTCTCTTCTGTCCTGGCCTGCCATCCATAATCCTTTCATTTACCTCCCCCTTTCATATCTCTCTCCTTCTGAGCTCCATCTCCAAAATGGACCCAAAATGTTAACTCTGCTTTCTTCTCACAGATGTTGCCAGACCTAGTCAGTTTACCCAGCAATTTCTGTTTTTGTTCCATTTGCACCTATCTGCTCATCTCTCCCTACCCTGCTGCCCTGCCCAAACTCATCTTCAGTATAAATACCAGATCTTCCTAGCTGCTATCAGTTCTGATGATGAGTCACTGGACTTGAAAGTGAACTGGGCATTCTCCCCACAGGTGCTGCCAGACCTACTAAGTTTCACCTTCAATTTAAGTTTTTATTTCTAGTTCAGAATGTTTTTCTTATAATTCAGGACTTCCAAACTAGGCGTCAGTCCAGCAACTCTCACTAAGCCCTTTCTATACGCTTGTAGAGGAGACCCAACCATGATCTTATGCAATCGCAGTGCACTTTTGTTCTGTATTACATTGTCCAGGTAATACATCCCAGCAAGCTATTTGTTTTGGCACTGTACTGCTGTGCTTCAAATTTACCGATTATGTAAAGCTGAACAAAAGTCAGGCCATCATGGAACCTAGCCTTAAACGCACACCACTAGGTTCAATGGAACTTATATCCGGATTTTTTTTAGCCAGTCTATTATGTAAGAATTCTTGTTTGTTGTTATTGGAAGCTGTGTCGTTGCTTCTTATAACTTCTGGAACTAAATGTAGCAACCTTCATAGCAAACTGACGAAGCCACCTCTCAGTAAGAGCAATTCGAGCAGAGTAACTCGAGAACCATAGAGGTAGGTGCTGTAGCTCTACTGACTCCCGGTTACTTCTTGAAGCGTGACTGCCTTGTGGTTTTCGATAGAATAATGCGTACTTAGAATAATGCCTGTCTTGCAAATATAGGTCGAGAGCGGTGTGTTTTTCCATCGTTCACTATCGATTTCAACACCACAAAAGCAGCTCGGCTGCAGCGCTCAGGGAAATCAATATCCGCCAGGTAACATCTCTATTTCCTTCAGGTGCAGGTACGTCAGTTTGCCAGGTCTCATCCGTAGGCTATTTTTTTTATATCAGTTTTATGGTGAGCTTGTGGCACGCAGCCACGCAACTAGGTGTCACTGCCCCCGATTGTTTCTCTATTATAGCGCACAACAGCGATTTTGAGGACAATAATTAAGTGCATTTAATGGCAGTAAGAAACGCTTGTAGAGAGAATAAAGCGAATATTTGCAGCACATTCCAAAATGTAGCTGTGAATTTTCATTTTCACGATTCCAAGCGCTTTAGTTCCATTTCTCTACATGTCCCCCTGTACAAACCTGAACTCATTGCCAGGGTACAGGTAGGGCACTGCCCACCCTCTGTTCAGTGCCAGTCTCTAATGCACGTTATACTGTAAATAGAGGCACATCACCTGTACTACAGGTGAGCTTCCGGGCAGTGTACTCAACAAAGGAGTTCCTGGGGGAAACCGAACATGTTTTTGTTCATGAAGTCATCTGCTCTCGTCGTAACATAGATCAGAGTTATTTTAAGCGTGGGGTTTGCTCGTTAACGACTACCGATTGCAGTATTAATAACAGGTCTTTGTTTGAAAAACATGGCGCCAAGGACAGTGTATGAGACACACCACGTTGGATTACCAAAACAATAACAATGGAAACAGGAACTTACTCAAAGTGAAAAATAACAACCTCTACATTCCCAAAACAGCCACCTTTCGAGAGCATTTCTGAACATTTCAGTGATCAGACACACAATATAATTGTAAACAGCTATATTCAACTTTTTTTTTTACGATTAGCACATCACACACAAACAAGCACATAGGATTTAGCTTGAATTTTCTATGAAGCTAATTCCTCACCGACCTGGCTTGCATTTCTTCAACGGAGCAGTCTGCAACCATCTCTATCCATTTAGTGCACAAGCCTTAGATGTTTTTTTCTTAAAAAAAATATATCTTTAAAAGCGGATGGCGGGAAGGAAGTTCAACTCCCCTTTCCGTGAGGACAGTTGCAACCTTACAAAGAGAGGGGGTGTACAGAGAAAGTGCTGCTTTTAAATCAGCAGGAAGCAGAGCGAATGAAGTGTTGGAACAAAGCCAGTGCATAGTGAATACGAGGAAAAGGAGCTGTGGAATACTGCGAGATTGGTGACGGCAGGGATCGAGAATAGATTAACTGCTATGGATGTAAATTACATTGAGATAGGAGTCACCAGTGTCCGAGTTGAAAGGTAGATACACTGTGTACAAAAGGTCAAACTTACGACCATGGGTACGGCATGACCCTTTTAATGCCTGTCTCTTTATGGAGTTCATGGAAAATTCCTTATTCCAATCCTAGTCAGATCCCTTACCACACTCTTTCTCCGGCATGTGGAATACGTCATTGGTGCTGTTTCCCTCTCTGCTTTGGAATTGGAAAAATGTATCAATTCCAATTTTTACCCTGCCCTCACCTTCACCTTGCCCATCTCTGACTCCCCTGTTCCCCAATATGTTTCCATTTCTGGGGCTAGGCCGGCCACCGATGATCATTACAAATGCTCCAAATCCTACAGTTACCAGGCCTATACATCCTGACACCCTGCTTCCATTCTCCCAGTTTCTCTGTCACATTTGTTCAAATGATGCTACCTTTCTAGGGAAGTCTCAGAATTTTCCATCCTTTTCCTCCACCAAGGAGTGTCCCCAACATTGTGGTTAACAGGGCCCTTAGCTGTGGCCGACACATCTCCCACACTTTGCCCTCACCCCTTGCCTCCCCTCCCACGACAATGATTGGGTCAGCCTGGTCCTCACTTTCCAACCCAACCGCTTCCAGATCCAAAGGATCATTGCTGCCACTGCCTCCAGTGGGATGCCACGACTGGACACATATTTCCCTTTCCTTGTCAGCATTCAGCAAGGACCATTCCCTCTAGGACAACCTGGTCTACTCCTCCTCCACTCCCAGCATCTTCCCATACCCCCATGGCACTTTCCCATGCAATCACAGAAGGTAAAACACTTGACGGTTTATCTCCTCCATCCTCACATCCAAAGTCCACTATCAACATCCTGGGGGTTACCATCAATCAGAAATTCAACTGGACTCACCATATAAACACAGTGGCTGCAAGAAAAGGTCGGAGGCTGGGAATACTGCAGCAAGTAATGCACTTCCTGACTCCTCAAAGCTGTCCATTATCTGCAAGTCAGGAGTGTGATGGAATACTCCCCACTTTCCTGGATGTGTGCAGTTCCAACAACACTCAAGAAGCCTGACACCTTCCAGGTCAAGGCAGCGCTCTTGATTGGAGCTATATCCACTCCCTTACCCACCGACACTCAGTAGCAGCAGTGTATACTATCTATAAGATGCACTGCAAAAATTCACCAAAGATCCTCAGACAACACTTTCTAAACCTATGATCACTTGCATCTGGAAGGACAAGGGCGCAGACAAATGGGAACATCACCACCTCCGAGCTCCTCTCCAAGCCACCCACCAGCCTGACTTGGAAGTATTTCACCGTTCCTTCACTGTCACTGGGTCAAAATCCTGAAATTCCCTCCCTAATGGCATTGTGGGTCAACCAACAGGAGGTGGACTGCAGCGGTTCAAGAAAGCAGCCCACCACCACCTTCTGTAGAGCAACTATGGACAGGCAAGAAATGCTTCCCCAACTAGTGATGCCCATATCCCACCAAGGAATAAAACAAAAGGCCCCGGACACACCTTCCAAGTGAAGCAGCAATTTATCTGCACTTAACTCAATCTAGTCTACTGTATTCGCTGCTCACGATGTGGTCTCCTCTACGCTGGGGAGAAAAAACGTAGACTGAGTGACCACTTTGCAGAACACCTACATATTGTCAATAAAAATAACCCTGAGCTTCAAGTTGCCTGCCACTTCAACGCAACACCATATTCCCAGGCCAAACATTATTGCCTCAGGCCTGCTGTAGTGCTCTAGTGAGGCTCAGCAAAGCTGGAAGAACAGCATCTCATCTTCCACTTGGGCTTTTGCAGCTTTCAGGACTCAACGTCATCTTCAATCACATTATATGTCTTTTACCCCCCCACACATCCAGGTTCTATCATGACATGGGTTGTTCTTAGCATAGCTAACACATTATCACTCACTCATAGTCGCCTTTATCACTTATCTGGTTCTTCTCCCTCCACCAACCTGCTGTGATCAACCTAAATACCATCTTTGCCTCAAGTGGGACCATCTGTTCTTTCCACTTTGGCAGTTAGACACACCATTGTTGTGACATTCTTATATTCCGATCACTTCATCTGCACCATCAACACCTTTTCTCCCTCAGCACTCCACACCACCCCCCACACTATTGTATAAATGATGCCCATTCCACACTTCATGTCAGCTCTGATGTAGAGTCTTATTGGCTCGAAACATTAGCTTGCTCTCTCTTCACAGATGCTGCCTGATCCACTGTGATTTCCAACATTTTCTGTTTTCAGTACAGATTCCAACATCTGCAGTAATCTGCTTCTATCACCTTTGCCTAGCTGCTTGCAACTCTAAAGAAGCGTCACTGGACTCAAAACATTAGCTTGCTGTCTCTTCACAGATGCTGCCAGACCTGGTGAGTTTCTCCAGCAATTCTGTTTCTGTTGAAGTGTGTTTTTATTTGTGAAGCAACAAACAGAAAATGATATAAATACTCAACAGGTCAGACAGTGTATGTGGAGATAAACAGATATTGTTTGAGTTTGATGACCTTTCATCAGAACTTGTTTTCGTTTCGTTAAAGGGAGGAAACAAGTTTTGCTTTCACTACAAAACCTGTAGTGAGTGTTTTAATTAGGATATCTCAAAATTGTGGATTTCAATGAGTGAGGTCCAGATTTTGCTTGAAGATTGGATTTTTATTTAATATGCTGTTTAAAAGCAAGAATGCATTTATGGGCTGTTATTGTTTTATTTTTAATTTATTTTTTAAACAGAAACAATCACAGTGCTTGTTTGAATGACATGGATTCTGAGCATTCGTAAATGGCAGCGACACAAGTGTTTCAGTTAAAACTGGGATTTGGTTCCCTGAACAGAGATGATCAGCTCCCAAATTTCAATTTCATTCACACAGAGAAATAACATAGACAACACTAGATTGGCAGAATAGTGTAGGCCACCAAAAAATGTGAACACCCAGGTGAAGTAAAAAAATGAAGAGTGAGGCCTGATAGCAAATCCCAATCATCTTCAAACAGCCATGGACCAGAAATGGGCCTTGGAATTATTACTTACTACTGGCAAGCTCGTTTTATTGATCAGGATTTTTTAGTTTGAAGATGTGAACAACAAAGCAGTGTACCAATTTGTCCAGTCTTCCTCCAAAATTCCTAAATCTATAAATTTTATACAAAGGGAATAGATCCTGCTTGGGGTCTCAGATCTCACACTGAAGAAGAAACAACTGAGACAATGGCTATTCCAAATTCTCACTGGAACAATATTCTTTGACTAGTTTTAATATAAAACAAGAAATGTTATCCACATTCAGCTTTTACTCATTGTTTATGGAAATTCATTTGTGTACGTGTGGCTTGCTATAGTCATGTGACCTCTTGTAACTTGCTTTCACTTTAGAAGTAGCAACAATTAAAAACATTGCATGAAATATGGTGTGAGCAGTCTAACATCTGTGGTACGGAACATATTGGAAGAAGTTTTGAGAGACTGAATTTATCTTCACTCAGAGAGGCAAAAATAGCATAGTTTTGTAAGGGGATGATCATGTCTAACAAACTTGACTGAAGTTTTCGAGGGGATGACTAGGTATGTAGATAAGGACAGTGCATTTTATGTAGTCTAATGGCCTTCAATAAGGTTTTAACAAGGTCTAGCATGACAGATTGGTTAAGAAGCTGAGACCAAATGATACAGGGCAATTTGTCAAATTGTAACTATATTTGGCTTAGTGGCAGTAAGCCAGACGATGGTGGTTGAAGGGGTTTTTGTGACTGGAAGCCTGTGTCCAGTGGTGTATCGCAGCATTTGATGTTGGGTCCCTTGTTGTTAATTGTGTACATTAATGGTCTAGACATTGAATATAGGAGGGACGATCAGTAAATACATGATAGCAAGGAGGAAGGCCTTAGATCATGGGATGATATAGGTTGGCTGCTCAGATGGGCTGAACAGTGACAAATGGAACTTAATCCTGTCAGATGTGAGGTGATGCATTTTTGGAGGAATACTGAGGCAAGGTGTAATTTTTGAGTGGTAGGACCAAAGGAAGTACAGAGAATCAGAGGGGCCTTGGTGTGCATGTCCATAGATCCTTGAAGGAAGCAAGATATGTAGATTAGGTAGTTAGGAAGGCTTGTAGGATGCCTTGTATGCCAAGTGCTGGAAAATGGGAATAGATGTTTCAGACCTGAGTAGAGACAAATGGACCACGTTGTAAGAACTCTATGATTCTATAATGCATAGCAGATGAGGTCTAATGTGGATAAATGTGAGGTTATTCATTTTGATAGGAATGCATTATCTGAATAATGATGGATTGGGAAAGGGTAAGTGCAATGGGATATCCTCATACACCAGTTATTGAAAGTAAGCATGCAGGTGCAACAGATGGTGAAGAAGGCAAACAGCATGTTGGCCTTCAGACTGAGAGGATTCAAGGGAGCAAAAACAAGGCTTTGTGTTATGCTGGGACATTCCAGACTGAACAAGAACAAGACACTGGAAAATAGGAAAAAATATTTGTGGAAAAATATCACACAACAGAAAAGGAAGCATGTCCAGATCGTCAGGTCTGAAGTTGATAAATTGTTTGTGACTGAATGATCACTTCAGAAGGAGAACATCAAGTGAAAATGAAGTGCCAATTATATAGTGATGTTTTGCCAAATGAACCTGAAGCAGAACGAGAAAAAGATCCGATTGGAGTTGATTGAAGTCAAATGCATGGGTCACTATTAAGGATGTGCAGTGATATTGGGGCACAGAAAATAAAAAGCAGCTTTCACTCAAACCAAATAACTAGTGATGGCAATGTCAGTACTGAGGTACTACAGTATCATCAA